CATTATGGTGAGCTCCAACGTTAAAATATTTGAATTTTCAAATGATCTAATCGATTAGATTAGCCCGATTAATCTTATCTTTTATTTTAGGTCTTGTGTTTTGCGCTCCTGCTGGGTTTTATTCACACCTTTTGCTACAAAAATCTCCTTTATTAAGAAATATTGATAAACAATTTCCAAGAGGGAAAACACCAAATGGTGTATCCTCCTATATACATCGTTAGATGCGAGAGTTGGTAAAGCCAAAAAATAAATAGATCCATTACAAACATATTTATTCAAACTGATCACTATGAATCATATACTTTGAGATTTCTCTCAAAGGAAATGCTTTGATCACAACTATTGTCATTTTCCATTATCATTCAGCTTCAAGATCAAAGACTTTATCAAATATATACTTAAAAGGCATATGTTGCTTTGCACTGGTTTCAATGATGAATGTTAATAATTCTGAGAAGCAAAGCCTACCTGCAAAACATTAAGGTTTCACCTTTGGTGCCCATATCTTCTTGGACTCAGGTGCATTAATCATAGAAGATCTAAGGTGGTTATCGTTAGATCTTTTCAATTAAAACATAAAGATTCTAAATAATATATTATCTTACACGATGGCATTTATATATGCAATGCTTCTTTCTAGTTTCTCTTTTTAACATTTTTACTATTTATATTTAAAGATAATTTTTTACTAGATAAAAGTTAGGTTAAACATCTTTTTACCTTGGCCGAACTTTCCTAAGGTTTCTTGTAGGTCAAGTACTTCTTTTATTAAATCGTTTACATTCTCTAAGCTTAGGTATCTTTATTTTTGAAAGATTTGATGACCTTTTCATGGTATCTTTAAGGATTCCTTAAGACCTAGGATGCGCTCTCTTAGTTTTTCATATTCTTATACTAAATGATTACTCATTTTAAACAAATGTGTATAGGAAGTTTTTTATACCTAGAAAAGTGTTTTCCTCGTAGGATTCCTTTAAGCACATTTTATCGTCTTCGTTGGAAGATGATTCTTCTCTATAAACAAAAGAGGATACTCCATTTTCTTTAGGTATAAAACGAGGTATCCTCTTGCACATTTCTTCATCAAATGGAGTATCCTCTTTTGGGTATATAGAGAAGAAATTTCTTTTGGATCCTCTTGCACATTTTCTCCTCCTCTTATTTATTCGGGTATTTAAGAAATTTCTTCATCTTCTTTGTCGTTTCTTGAGCAAGAGGATCCTCCATTTGATGTTGAATTTTCGAGCATCGTTCAACTGTTGAGTGTGTTCTATTGAAGGATTTAACAAGAATTGTATGATAAGAGCATGATAAGGATGATGGTTTTACAGTTTGGAGTTTCTCATCTTTGAGTAGTTGAACTTGTTCATTCATCTTCTCTACAATTTTCTTCATTCTTGATTTTTCCTAAAATTTATGAAAGCTCTCATCTATTGATTTATGAATTGGATTAAACTTCCAATCCTTAATTCTGAGATATTTGCTAGTAACAGAGCATCCCACGTTTCCTTGGCAGTTTTGCAAAGATGAACATAGTGAAAAATTGTGTTATTTAAAAATATTGTTATAAATATTTTGATTTTGAAAAATATTTCAAATTTTCTATTTTCCTCTTTGGTCCAAAAAAATATGGGTTTATCTATTATTTCACCATTCACTTAATGAGTAGGGATAAACGGACCTTTTGGCAATTTTCCCTTAAGTCACAGTTTATATTTTGAAGAGAAATTATAAACCTAGCTTGCAAATTTTTTTTCTATTTTTCAAAAAAAGTGATGGTGTTTAAACAAACTCTTATCATAAGTCATCTTCTTCCTGAGACGATTAGTCCTTATATATGAGTTAGACTCTAATGACACTTGTTGGACTTGTGACTTTATACATAAGAGGGGGGAGGCGGGTTAAATTGTGTGGTTTGGAAAAATGTGATTTTAAAAACTTTGGGAAATAAAATGTAGAAAATAAATTGCAGAAATAAGGGGAGTTAAAGGAAAAGAGGAAAAAATAAAATGTAGAAAATAAATTGCAGAAATAAGGGGAGTTAAAGGAAAAGAGGAACACCAAGAACTATAAAGGTTCGGTCAAAAACTAAAGGACATACTTCTCTCTCTAAGCAACCTAGGAGAATTTATACAGGCTGATCTACAACCTAAATTAGGACTAAAATAGTCAATCCTAAACAAAAGCTTATTACAGGTTTAGCTTTAACCCATGCAGATCCCTAATTGGAGAGTATTCAACCAAGGTATACACAAAAAAATTCCTTGATGAATTTTACAATTTGACCCTTTCCAGAATTACAAAAATAATCCCACTAACAAAATGAATTTTCTCACAAAAACACTTAAGCTAAAAACATAATGAGAGAAAGTTAAAGAAATGTTGAGAGAGAGAGAGAGAGAGAGAGAGATGAAAGTGTCAAAACACAATTCTGGATAATTTGAAACGAGAAATGGAACCTCTATTTATAGGCCTTAGGTTGGTTCAAAAAAGAAATTTCAGTTAACGTATTTTATAACAATCTAATTGGTTAACACCTATTCCTAATCGGTTAAAACATAGAAATAGTCATTTGTAAGTTCCATAAAAGGAAGGAAAGTATATTTAGCCGTTGCACATTATTAAGGCGCTGTCTAACTTGCTTAGGGGTATAAATTTGAACTAAACTAATCAATTAGACAAAGGACCTAATCGATTAGATAAGCCAAACTTTTCCCTCTAGATATTTTAACAACTCTCAAGTCATCTGACACAACTTCAAGAAATTTTTGAAGATTTTTTCTTTGATAAAACAGTTTAAAAAATGTTTTAGTGTGTGTGCTTTTAGCCATGAGATTTTACAATAAATTCTTTTTTGTCTTATAATCATTCACTCATTATTAAATTAAATAGAATATCACTAATACTAAGTTAAGAGATCACTAAATAGCTTTAAGACTTTGTCGAATATTACTCTTTACGTTGACATATGCTTGACATGAGATGAGGCTTTAGTTGTATTCTTTATTTTCCATCATCGGGTCGTCAAGTTTATCAAATCCTAAAGATAGATTTGCATCTTTATCCGTTTAACCATTCATGCTCAACTTATCATAATAATTTAGTTATCGTCATTAAAAGTTAATGTCCTTGTTAAAAGCATATCACCTGCAAAATAAGGTTCCAAATTAATAACATACAACTTTTATTGATAAAACAAAATCATCAATAACATATAACATATACAACTTTTATTACTGACAATATACAACTTTTATACTGATAATATACAACTTTTATCAACAACAACATACACATATCATAAACAACTTACAACATACATTACCAACAACATAATACATTTATCAAAAACAACATACAACATATATCAACAAACAAAATAATCAACAACATATCTTAAACAATATACACATACAACTTTTATTACCAACAACATACAACTTTTATCAATAATAACATATATTAATAGCAACATACATCATATATAAACAAAAACAAAATCATCAACAAAATATAACATTTATCAACAACTACTTTAAACAAAAAACATCATATATTAACAAAAACAAAATAAACAACAACATAAAATGTGTCTGAAATGTGACGAGGAGGTGAAAGAAATTAATTTTGTGTAACACATTTCCTTGATCCATAAGATATGAAAAAGATATATTGAAATTTTTATGAAGAAGCGGCATTCAACCGTTCATGGGGTTAGGATGACGTGTGAGAGAGTTAGGGCTTCGTTTTTGGGAAAGACGGTTTCGTTCTGTCTTGAATGAGCAAACTTGCGCTTAAATATATGTTATAGTCTTCACCATAGTTTATATAAACGACCGTGATAACAGTTATGTACATTTAACAACGATTGCTTATATGGATAGCGAAGAAAGATATCTTAGTTTTAATATAAATATTATACTTATAAATGACACGCTCATTTTGTAAGCAAAAGAGGAAAATTGTTGGTGCTATTATTCGAAATTTGTATGCCTTAACATATCACTATGGTTCCTAGTATGGACCGTAATGAAATATCTTTTAATAAAAGAAAAAAAATTGAACACGCCTTAATATATTACTATGTTACGTGCTTTTTCTAGTAGTGAGAGATTTGTTTTTTTGGTTGATTGCCTCTTTGTGTGTGTGTGTGTGTGCGCGCGCGCATATGCGTGTGTGTGCGCGAGGGAGAGAGAGATATCCTACGAAAATGTCATTTTTATGTGAGAACATGAGAATTAATTTGAACTATTAGATTTTAAAATAAATGATAAAAATTATTTGTGGTTTTTTTTTCTGTCTATCTTCCAATATTAAAATAAATGATAGAGGAGAGAGAAAAAAAAAACACATAATCTCTACTATTTATTTTAAAATCTAATTATTTAAATTTATTCTCATATAAAAATGACATTTTTATATGATACGTCTTTTATATATATATATATATATATATATATATATATATATATATATATATATATATATATATATATATATATATATATATATATATATATATATATATCACCTTAGTTTTATTTCACTTTGGAATAAGTCGATAGAGACAACTGTTACCCTTGTAAGAGTTGTTAGCCTTCAATTTATCAATACTTTATCCTATCTTCCATTCTTTATTATATATTCCATCTAACATTAATTTCCTTTCAAGGGGGAAGGTGAAGAAGGTCACACATTAATGTTGGAGTTGTATCTTCTCTTTTCTTAGGTAGCCTATATGGCATTACTTCATTTGCACACTTTCAAAAAAAATAAGACACAACCATTATCACAACGCATTAATTCATAAACCAAGTAGCCATATGTTTAGTGTACTCCTCTTAAATGATTAAACCTACCATCTTGTATAGTAGGATACAATATTTACTACTAATACAAAACAAAATCACTTCACAGTAGCATACTATATTCCATATTGAATCTATATTTAATACAAACAACTTTAATAATTAAAACAGTCTAATAACACATTAACACTAGTATGATCTGTTATAATGGAGTTTGAAAATAGAGTGAGCCACAAGCAAAAGGAAGACAGATGAACCAATGATAGAGAGAACCAAAGCAGCAGTCATGTGACGACAATAGGCGTCAAATACATTACACACTTTCATCCATTGCACGTGCGAGTTTCCTTTCTGCCCTAACACCCCCACTGCAGCAGCTGCTCCATTGGCTGAGAAGTGTAATGCAGATATAACAAGATCTAGTATTGTTATCATCAATAGTAAATTTTTGTTTCCACTACTTCTTGCAATAGTTGAAATCACCATTGTTGTTGCTGCGTATGAACATCCTATAGCATTTGTCACCAAGAAAAACCTAATATTACAAAATAAAGTTACTTTTAACATTTCAAGAGTAGAGAAGGAGAGAAGAGAATGATGAACTTACACACTGGCAGACATATATTCCCACTTAGCAGTAGCTTTGAACTGAAACGAAGCATAGGAAATAGCCTTCGTTTCCTTATCAACAGCAACAATGATCGTAACAGTGAGAGTGAGCAAGAAACAAAGAACTCTAAGCAACAAATCATAAACACCACTCTTCTTAGTTTCCATATTCTCTACAACCTTCACATCACTTTGAACTCCGTCCACACTCCCCTTAGATTGGCTTCCCATATAGTAGTAAGCAAGTACTCTTGAAGAGTTGAGTAATAAATATTTTAGTTTTGTTGTGTAACGAAAGATAAAGTGTATATATATACACAAAGATGTGTATAATAACTGTGAGAAGGAAAGCAGGGTCAATGAGTGAATGAGAAAGGTGGGGAGGTTGGAAGTGCATTCAAGACAACATGTACGAGCTGTAGATTTATATTTAATGCCATCGACCATCTTTTTTTATGAACATGTTATTGTTCAAGTAATGTACAAGGCATTTGATATTAAAAATACAGTAGTGCTCACAGCTCACTCACTATATAGGATTTGGATTTAGACCTACATCGCATTTTTTATGGGATATAAAGTTGTTGGAAGATCTTAATGTTGGAGCATTTAATGTTAGAACGTTGCAGAAGTAGGTGCTAAAGTCTAAATGTGGGAAGTAATTTGAAAAAACTCATTTTAAGTTTTACATTTGATAGTTTTTGTATCCTATTTATATAGTGGAGGAAGTCTTAAATGTTGCAATTGGAAGAAGCAATGTAAATTGTTCCACTTAGAAACTAGAAATGATAGAATTGTTCCACTTAGAAACTAGAAATGATAGGTGGAATATGAGATGAGATTTTGGATCGGTAGAATAAAGAAGTGGAGAGGGGGTTGATCTCTAAGGTTAGTACTCAAATGTTTGAGTCAGTGACAAAATAAAGAATAATACAGGAATAAGAGTATATCTAAATCATACCATTTTTTTTTCATGTGAGACACTATATATGAAATTCGGTTAAGGTGTGGCATGCTCTAAAAAAGCTTAGAATGCGGGAAACCGTTAGATGATATCCAAAGACGGTTAGAGATCCATGGTTTGAACTAGGTGTGAGACTCTGCAACATGGTTAGATTATACATCTCTCTTTCAAGTTGAATAGTCTTAGACTGATGATTGAGTATTTCTCTTATTGGACCTTTGATCATCCTAGAACAATTTTCCCAAGGCTTCTCATGGCGTAGTAGTGAGAAGTCTTTCGAAAAACTAAGTTAGGATCTTTGTATTAGGGTCGTTGTTTGGAGATGTGGAAATGGTTTGGCAGCCAGTGTGAGTAACCTAGGGATCAAGTGCATTAAATGCTAGTCTCATTACTGAGACGTTTCACACAATCTTTCTGACATGTGGCCCTAGGTTTCTAGATTATGATATGGCACATTCTTCTAGGATGATCAAGTGCACTCAAATGTTGTTATATTTCTGAGGCAAAATCCAATTGTTGTATTTCATCTCTCCATTTTCTTTCATTTTGGATCATTGATTAGTTTGTCTTGCTCCCACATATATGGGTCATTTAGTGCTTCAAAATGTATTTTTCACTCTTTACACAAACCATAAACTTCTTATCTTCTATAAACTCTAATCTTTCCTCTATGAGCTCTAGCTACACCCATTTTATCAGTCTCTTTTCTTCTTTGGACCCAATATTATATGGTTCATTGCAACCTTCAAGTCACCTCTCTTTTAACTGTTTCCTCCATTTTTGGCTACTTCAGGTACCATTTCTCTTTCTTGTTTACGGTTCGTTACTTTCCTTTCATCATTTTGGTCATGGCCAACATAAGGGATGCATATGCAAACATAATCGATATACATACTGGCGATGATGCTTCTTTTTCTAGTGGGATAGTGAACCTTGAAATGTAAAACATTGATCCTTTAAAGGTTAATAACAATATCACAAACCTTATTGTGCTTAGTGATAGTTTTGGATATGGCGAGGGTTCTGTTAAAGATGGTAGTGAACCTTCTAATTCTCATCCTATCAGAAGTAAAAATGGTTAATCTAAAGGAGACAGAGGGATGAGTTATGGTAGTCTCATTGTTATGGATGAAGACGTTCGCCCCTCTTCTCCTACAAAACCTTTTATAGACCTAGAACCCGTAAGGTTTCCCAGGATGAACAAAGGACACATTATTTTATTAATTCCTTTAGGGAAGTGAACGATCAAGATCCCAGTGATAAAGAGGTTAGGGATAACATCAATTTCTTAAGCCATTCTCGAATTTATGACCAACATTATCTTTTTCATGATAGTTAGGAAGACATGGTCTGAAAAGAGTGACAGGGTCTTGTGCCACCTATTGATGTTGCTCGATACCATTGGGAAGAGAAAAAATCGATGGGGATAGTCTCATTTTTCAATTGCACTAAAATTTTAGAGGGCGCCTACACAGACATGGAACCGTCTTCTAATTGGTCGATTTCTCATGTTGAATCTTCCAAGAGAATCTACAGCTCCTTTGATGGGTGCTCAATCCATTTCTATGAATGCTTATTCATCGGGTTGAAGTTCAGGTTGTCTTTTAATAATCTAGTGGAAGGGGTGCTGAGACATCTAGGAATTACCCTATGCCAATTATACCCAATAGCCCGAGTGTTAAATGCAAATTTTGATTTTAAATGAACTATCTTTTTTGACACTTTTCAAGTCATTTCTCATGTTTTTATAGATTTAATTCTTGTTCTTGTGTGATTCTTCAATTATATTACAAATACCTTTGGATTCTTTGATGTGTGTGTTATTGTGCATAAATTAGGCATAAAACATCAATGATTAAGACACAAGTGAATTGGACAAGGAATATAAAGAGGTGAAGAAGAAATAGGAAGTTCGCTGTGCGAATAAGAAGAGAATGTTCACTGTGCAAACATGCAGCGAAAGACCAGCGAATCATCCCATACTTAAGTCAATAGCTAAAGGATCCTAAGTTCGCAGTGCGAACTTGTAGCGAGGTAGTTCACAGTGCGAAGAATTACTTGGACAGCGAACTTCAGATATTTCTCAAGGGTGGTTTAAATGTTCAGAACTGCAGGTGCCTAAAATTGTGTTCGTTGGGCGAAGAAAGGGTTTGCAGTGTGAACATGACAAATTTTGTAAATACTATATAAATATTTTTCTCACTTTTTAGAAGGGGGAATATATTTTGAGGATCAGAATTTTATCTCTCTTCATTTCAAGCATATTATAGAGAGAGAAACATAAATACTAAGAGGGAGAAACACAAATCAAAGCAACTTGGAGCTTGATCTTCGAGTAAGAGTTTCGATTTCTTGTTGGGTTTGGATGTAATCATTTGATAACTTATGTATTTCATCTAATTTATGAATTATGAACTAGTTTTGATTCTCTATTGATGTTGTCTTTGATTTCTTATTTGTGGGTCTTGACAAAACCTTTTTCAAATCTTTGATCTAAGATCCTCATCTATCAATGAGCAAACTTTTGACATAGTCTTGTAAGTTGATATTCACTAGTATCACTTTTATTTTATTGTGTTGATTAGTAGCATGAGTAGGATCAATACGGTAAAGACCGCGATAAAGTTTTACAAACGGTATTGCGAGGATGCGTGATAATAGTGATGAAGAACTATGTTCATATACATTTGACAAATTAGTTAAATGTATGTAAAAAGGGTTAATTATGTGTACGTATTCTGCTCATGGTGTTATATATGAATCAAATCATTAATTTGATATGGATGTTGTAGGAATATTTGTTGGGTCTAAACTCTAGATATAGATTTAGGTTTAACATTCACGTGAGTATCAGTTCTTAATGCTATGTGTGGGTTTTATTGTGTGAGATATCACCAATGAGACAATACGGTTGGCTTCTCGACTTTGCGTTAGACGCAACCTTTATTGTGTGTGATACATGATTATATTAGAAGAAAGTTTGAGTTGTGTGTTACATGATTAGAAGAATGCATGTGTTATAAATTGATGAGATCCAATCCCAACAAGGCTCCGTTTATATTCAGTATTTACTTTATATTTTCTGCCTTTATTTATGGTTCTTTGATCTTTTAACCAATTTAATCAAAACAAGTTTAGAAATGTAAAGACCGTTGAACGAAGTTCTTTACCTTGCACAGATCCCTGTGGAGACGATATAAAACCCGGAGGAAATCCTTCCAAATCTAAATGTTTGTTTCTTGCCGCTTTACTGCAGTTTGAACAAAATGGCGCTGTTGTCGCGGATTGATGTTTAGATATTGAATTGCATTGCAATAGTTTCTATGTTTTTTAGCTTTGTAAAATTGTCTATATTGTATGTATTCTTGTTTTCTTTTACGTTTTCTTAAGTGTTGTTTAGGGATGAATGATGAAAACTCCTGTTAGAACACAGATTGGTTCTTAGTTATATCTCTATGTTTTGATGATAACACTTACGAAATTTTGTATTAAGAAATTATATACTCAAAATTTGTTCAAGTATTTTTGCTGCAGATATTAAATTTAATATTCTTCTGAAAGTAAGAATGGATTTGAACGTTGACCTATGCAAGGATCTGAAGCGTCAGAAGCATCTCTTAGAAGACTCTGAGCGCCACCTACAGAAGACTCTGAGCGCTGCCTACAGAAGGATCTGAAGCAGAAGCTACAGAAGCATCTGAAGCATAGACTGAAGACTTTGTATGAAGAGTTTCAAGCACAATTTTTTAGAAGACTCTGATAGTACTGTATGTTGCATGTACTGAGGATCTGATCTCTAAACTCTGCTCTGATTTATTACACGCTGAAGCACACTTGCTGCAACACTCTGATACAGCAAATTCTGAAGACATCAAGACTCTGATCACTCAAGGCTCTGATGTTATTTGCTGTGAATTAGAAACTTGTTGAAGAAGATTATTTAAAGATATACCCGTTGGTTATGCCAAACGACTCTTTCCTCATTTATGCTAGACACAAGAACACAGGCAAAAAGGATTTCTCTGAACATTCTTTTTCTAGGAAAGGTCAAGTGATGTGAAGACAAAAAGGTTTCAGCTACTTTGCAGACACGGTCTTCAAAGAGCAAACGTCTTGGACTTTTGTGCCTATAAAAGCAAGACTTCAACATCTTTCTCAAGTTGACGATTATTGAAAGAAATTCATTGAAAAGCTCTCATACAAATTATTCTCTTTGCAGAATTTATTTTATATGTTCTTAAACTTAAGTGTAAATCATAGTTGTGAT